ATTGTTCCGTTGACACCAGAATCCGTTGAATGCGTAAGCATTTGTTTCTTGGATTTCAATATAATTCCCTTTTGAAAATGATGTTCGTTTCGGGAGTGTGTATTCAGTAAGTAGGTTCTGGTGCCCTGGCCTACACCGCGTTATTTGGAAATGTTCATTGTTAGGCAAATTAGGACCGAGTTATGGGGACTTTCTGCTGTCCCCACAGCGTTATCGGTCCCCACAAATACCCCGTACAGACGAGTGTATGTCCCCACAACTACATTTCCCACGGCGTTGCGTAACGGCCTCCGAATAGGCATGCGCACGCTTTATACAGCTGAACTTTTAACCAATGAGTGAGCGCGCTTAGTCAATTCAACAGAGGGCGGTATTGACAAACACCGTACTCAATGCTCACGAACGTTACAAGGCAGGCCATGCGGCCAGTGAGGTGATTTAAGGCCGCATCCGAATCAACTGGCTGCGACCGAGAGCCACCTAGCCACAGCCCTTCCTAATGATTAGCTTAATATAATATTCCTACAATTTGCCAGGAATGTTGGTTGGCTAATGAATGACATGCCGTCATTTTGATTGCGCTACATTTAGCCCAAGTGGGTGCTTTAACGGGTTTTTTTGGCCCATTGTGGTCAAAAACAGCAATAAGCATAATTTCTCCTTTTTTCATTCAAATGTTTTCAAATATGGTACAACTTTTTTTAGGGTGCTCATGGTACTTTCTTCATGGACGTGTTTTAGTAAGTGAACTCGTAAACAAGGAATAATGGGCTGTAACGTGACAAAGAACTTAAGTCAAAAGTGGATACATGATAGGTTCAGGTAGACAAAACATGGTTTTGATCCACAAAAGTGGAAATATCAACCTTTTTATACGAAAAAGGGGCAGATTAAATTATTGCTGGTGTTTCTAAATTGGTTGCCATAGTTACCAGGGAAATCCTACGGAATTTGTTTTAGTACTATTTTGACCCCCCCCCCCCCCTAATTATTGAAGTTAGGAAGAGTCACCACATTTCATTCCCATCAGCCAAAGTGTTCCGGGCTATTACAAGAAACTTCATAGTAGGGGAATCGTGCCCCCGGCCCTGATGGGCTAGGATTACCCAATAGACCATTATCATGTTGCAGCCATTTGATTTTTTTCCTATTGAAATCAATGTAACCAAAGCGAGGCTGAAAGGAAAAATAATCCGGTTCCTTTTTGCACAAAAAAATTCTCATCCAGTACTGTTATTGGATACAGGGAACATGACTGAAATGGTGGCAGCATGATAAAGGTCTATAGCAACGATTCTTCTGTTCTGGGATCAAGTGTCACTGAGACTAGAAAAAGAAAGTCCATTAAATACATAGTTATAGTGGTATCACGACTTGGATTTTGTAGTTTAAAAAAGGACTGAAGTCGGTAAATGTTTTAAGAGGAAACTTTTTTGCAACCAAGTACATGTATAGTCAATTATCATAATGCACGTAGACTACATGCGTCAGTGGTTGGTACCGGAATGATTCCAGGACTTAACGTCCCTTGAAAAGGATCCTCCACAACCGTGAATCATATATTTCATCAATCATAGTATAGGAATTGGTTAAACACAATTTAAGAGAGACAATTCACTCAAATCAAGGGCGTATTCAGGAATTTTTGCGGGGGGGGGGGTTCATCATACTCGTATCATACGTTTAATAGCGGGCGCTGTTCAAATCCGACGATAAATAACAATATACATGTATTGCAGAACAGTGTACAAATACCCCCTAGCCAAGCTGGCTTTGCCCGTATTTTATTTTGTGCACAGGCGGACATTATTTACAGTATATTTGGGGGGGGGTCAGAGCAGGGGGTTGCATTATTTTAAAAGAATTTCTATGGAAAAACACTAATTTTTGAAACTGAACTGAGGTTGAAACCCCCCCCCCCCCCTGATCCGCGCCTGCACCTGATATGTTCCACGCATGCGCTTTAAGGTAAATGACTTTACTAGCCTGAAAAAGAAAAGAATTTGTTGATTGTTGGGGGTGTGTTCATCAGGAGGTGATAACCAATAAGCTAACACTCAGCAAAGGCTGTCATGTCCATTGTCCAAATACAAAGAAGAGATATGTGTAGCAATACAAAAATAGCAACCATAATGGTAATGGCCTACCGGTGGGTGAACTTTGGTGTCCAGGCCCATGGACTACACGTGATGCGTGGGCCGTTAACAGTCCCGTCAAGGAACATTTCCCAACTATATTTAGGCTATACGCACCCCCACTTTTACATTAAGTATTATTTTTTCCCGGATTTATTGCCAGACCGTACGCTTCAGATAGAGGCTGCAGGGTCAGCTTGTAATTGAATTGTTGTTTCCCTTGCGTTCTGTCTGACGACGTCAATACACAAACTTACGAAACCTTCTGAAGAGGACGTGACAGGACCGTGATCTGCGGTCATCGCAAGTCGGATGATTTCTGGACGTGATTCAGGATGTTTTCCACTTTCAAGTCGACGCGACGGTGAATCAGTCTACCCCAATTTCAATTCGGTCATCTCAAGGAGATAGTTATATTCCGGATTCAAGCAGTGAGACGGACCTTTTGCACTGTCTGGTGTTGGAAACGAAAGAAAGAAACCAAAGATCACAGGACGTGTGATTGTGCAATGGATGTCCGCGATGGTTACTTTTATCCTGCTCTACTGTCCCGGATGCAATTCCTGATGACGTCACAAGGCATTTCCCGTTTTACTCCGCGGTCCTAGAATTTGAGTATCCTTCGTGAACCATTCATTTTCAGGTGCGATAAAACAACGCCTTTAAAATTAAGTCATTGATAGGTTTTAAACACAAAGACAAGTCGTACATTTTATTTTGCTCTGCCCGTTATGTGCATTTAATTTTTTTTACAGCCAATTTTGAAACTTAAAGATTTTTTTCCTGAAATGCAAGCAATTAAAAACAGCAAAACATAAACAAAAGTAAAACGAACAAATCAAAACAAAACAATAAAATGAAAGCCGCAACATCCGCTACCGGGTAATCAAAAGCTTATCAAAACTCTTTGAAACTTGTGTGCTACAAACACTGTGGCCTTACTACTGCTTAAGGTGAAAACGTAATCAAAATTGTGCAAACTACACAATGCAGGCAGCTCGTATTCTTGCAACAGCATGACGATTTTCCTCGTTGATTATTAATGACTACATTTTGTTTTAAAGTTGGAGTGATAAACGTTAGTAATGGTTTTACTATAAACAAAAATATCCAGTTTTTCAAGAAGCCCCTTAGAGATTCGAAGATTCGAATAATACATCTTCGCTATATTGTTCTCTCCGTATTTCAGGTGATTAGTAATGTTCTGTTCTTCGCCTCAACGATTTTTTTCGTGATCATGATAGAATGAATGACACATGCCGCGAAAATGACACGCATAGTTTTTTTCAGATGCTCTGCCATGACAACCAGAGCTATTTATAGAGCACAATCGCATCCCAACTCAAGGACAATTCAGCCGTCGCTGTCCCCCGTCTCGTCAGGCCACGCATACGATGGCTTTTCCGCCGGATACCAACGATATTTCGAAGATGCTCGATTCTATACTAGGAATCAACTGATTCATCTGTGACGTACAGCTAGCTTGGTTCTTCACTCTCCGCGTACATTTCTCTTGGATGCCCGATCGAGAGGTTTGTCTCCCAGGCAAGGTAAAACTTGAAGAGGTACTGAAGGAGGCAGACGGCCTCAAGGAGTGATGCTAGATATAAGAAGTCAATGATGACATCACAATAACATCCTCATTGTGACTTAGTCAGCACCTTGACTCCCTCTCAACAAAATATGGGAAATTACTCATCGTCATTTAAGAATACTTATAATTGACCGAGCAGATGATGGGTTAAATAAAGTGTGACGTCACAAATCGTCATTGTCACTTAATACATTGCATGTCAATGAGGTTGATTATCAGGCTAATACATTGTTCTATAATTGTGATACATCGCTGCATTACTCATGATACGAATAATAAAATAACACGATTTATAATTTGTCAACCATTTATTTATTATAGCAAAATTATGGTACGGCTTTTAGTAATCTGTACATAAATAATTTAGTCCTAAAATTATTTTCACAAATAATTTAATGCTAAAAAAGTGAGGAGCTTATATATTAGAGTGATTCTGTTATGATAATGACCCCAGTCTTAGTACCAATGGTAGGTTGTTCTTGTTTCTTTTGATACATTGGATGAGTAAACTGCCACAAAAAATATCCATTTTATTAATTAGCAACTCGCATAATTTCTGCCTACAATCCGGCACGAGGAGATATCGATTGAGTTACTTTTCATCCTTATCGATTGGAAACACAATGCCAGTCATTTATCTCGTTTGTACAATATTATAGAGCTCTGGGGATGGCTATAATTAGACATGACGTCACTGTTTCATCATCGCATGTGCGTTAGGTAAGAATGATGCAACCAAAACGTTGACATTTTTCTTTGATTGGTCACGGTATGATGTCACGCTCGTGGAGATGACATCTGTACTTGACCTTCACCGCATTTAGCCTATACTTTATCAGGTCGGCATAAGTATAATGTTCACACGCCGCCCCGTTTTGCAAATTACCTCATTTTGTCAAGCATATCCATTTCTTTCTATAATTAAAACAAATTAAAGAGATGTTATCCTTTGATTCAAAGCCAATAAAACAACTCATATTCTTTGCTCTAAATGACGATATCCTACTCTTTTTAAAAAGCTAAGACAATTCTGCCAAAAAGTGATCGACTTTTGCAATGTTGAACCTATTCTCTTGCTAGTTCCTAATCATTGCACATAATTATATTCAATTTCAAACCATTACAATCCAAGAATGAAGAAGAACTGTTTCCAGTGAATATAAAAAGAAGAATTATGTTGAGGATACTTTGAATAAGGCTTACAAAAACAACCGGTTGAATAATACAGAAAACACACTATATCACAAAAGGACAAAAAAATAACCAAGAGGTTTCTTTTTTTGGTAAAAAGTACTTTTTATTTCAATTTATTTTTTGCATTGACAGTGAACAAAACCTGTCGATAAAATAAATAAATAAGTTAAGTTTGAATAAATTACACGACAAGTATTTTTTGGAACACAATTAATGCCAAAAATGAACAGGGGTGAAGAAAAGCAAAAAGGATTTCTGCATTAATTTTGTGAGGGTGAAATTGAATACTTTTTTATCAGGCCCTAGAAACTGTTGTGAAATATTTATCGGAAATTATTTTATTAGAGAATAGAGTATTAGTAAAACACGCTCAGATCAAATAAAACAATTAATTATTAGGAATACATATGCTACAATGGTGACACATGGACTTTAACCTCTTTTCAGCAATTTAGAATTCATTAAAGGAAGATTTTTTTACACGGTGGTCATGTACCCAACTTTGACTGATTGAAATGCCACGAGGTGGGTCGACACGCTACGGGGGACCCAACTATTTTGGGGGTACTTAAGTTCTTTGCTAATTTACGCTTAGCAAAAATCACCTGAGAACATGTCACAAGGAATAGTAATTGCATGTCATTCTAGAGCTGGTAACCGTTTGCGCCGATGTGCTTAACAAATACCCCTGCTTATGCGCCAGGAAACTTTATTTAACAGATTGTCTGGATAGCACCAGACTATGCGTTCATAATTCATTTTGGCCAATAACCGCCACAGACCACCTTTTCTCATGCACCACAATCATGAATAAAACCAATCATCAAATATGATCAAACATTTGGGCTATTGCACTGAATTCCATTTTAGATAAATATTAAAAGAAAACCAAACTGCAGTTATTAAAAATTAACACTACACCTAACATTTTAGATTACATAATTATGTTTTGCATATTCCAAGTTGCTATTACTGTATTTTTGGGGAAGAACCTGCCTCCACATTAAAAAATAGATTGCTATTCCTGTTTTAGTCGAGACGTTTTGAATAAATAACGAATAAAATACAAGGGATCATCTTGTTCTTTAAAATAGTGGACTCTGCTAATACATCCAAATTGAAACTCTTTTTAAAAAATATAAATATTATTTTTTTACGGATACATGTATTTTGCAATTTAATTTAGAAGAGAGTATGGGACAATGGTTGGGTGGGTTTTAATTTGTTTAGGGGAGGACTTGGCTGATGACATGGGATAAAAACAATTCCCATAATTCATTCACAGCTGATACCTTGGAATATGAAGACAGATTTGTATAAAAGATATCTCCAAAATATAAATATATCTCTTCAGCAATAAATAAAATATATACAAACCCTTGATCAGATAAACAATAAATACAAAAAACCTCTTTAACGCCACTCGATCAAGTACAATGTTTGCCAAAAAAATAGTACTTGCATAGTTTCAAGTTCCGCGAATGTTTCATTAGAGTGAGGAATTTGCAGTGTTAACTATTTTTTTTTAAATACATCCTAAGAAACAGATAGAGGTTTGCGTCAATCAATAATCCCAAGACTCTGTTCTTAATTGGAATGACAAAAATGAGGAGTGAAATAAATGGCGGATGCGCGCAATCCATGTCGTGAAGTATGAAGATAACTCAGTCCCTTTTTTGGCGTTTGCTGAATAGCTATGGGATTAAGTATCAGATCCGAAGAAGTTACAGCAAAAAATGACACAGACCTTAGGTTTTCGGAGAAATCCCATAGCCACTCAGCACTTTACAGGCGTTTCAAGCACAAATTCTCCCAACACCGAGTGCACTGAATAACATGACCAGAGTAGACGGCCTACATTCCCTGATGTCTTGCTGGATAAGATTGCAGCCCTCCGTTGTGCCAAAATTGGACTCGGCCGCCATCTTGGCTGTGGAAGTCATCTTGTTTTGGGGGCGCCCTCCTGGAGCTCGACACACGCCGTGAAAGATGGACCGCCGCGGCCGCACGACAGAATCAGCTTACCCCCAGACCCTCCATCCCTGGCTTCTAGACTCAGACGTCGCGTGTTCTTGGAGTAAGTGCGTTCAGACGGTTGTCCTGGCGCACCCACTTACCGCAGTCGGCGCACCAGTGGGGCCGAGACTCCCCCGGATATCCAGATTGAGCTGTTTGACGTACTCATTCAGCCGATGCAGCACCGTGTAATCTCGTAGACTCCTCTTGATCTCGCTGGATATCGTCTGGAACGTGAATTCCTGGGCCTCTTCTACTCGACTCTCACCGCTAGCCCTGAGTCCATTGGAGCAAACCTGATCGAATTAAAAAAAGAAGAAAACGACAATGATAAGTCAAAGGTAATTTATCATCCTCATCAACTGCATCAAGGTATATTATTTGGAGGCTTGGGATAGGACTGTGTTTTTAGGATGCCATCGATTAAGAGAGCCACCGCAAAAGTTCAAGTTCAGGGTGTTCCTGTATCCGCTTGGGTAACCAAAAACCACATCTCGGCGTCTCGCTTCACCCGCCGGCATGTTAACCCCCAGACACCGGTAGTGCACACTCACCGTGCATTAGTAAGGAATAACCATTAAGCTAATCATCTAGCCGGATATATTTCATTGTAAAGTGATAGTTCTCTGATGTTTTCTCTCTCAACCCGAGCACCCTATCATGACCCGATCTAACCCCGGGTGCTCTGATGGAGTGGGAGTCGCCGAGGCACGGCATTCTTTGTCTCACTTGGTGCGGTAAATTCGACAACCGCGGGGAATTTTTATTCAATATTCGTGGACAATATTTTTTAGTTTGTCCTTAAAACCCGCGCAAACTCGACCCAGCGGGAGAATAAAAATAATCTGGTGGGCGGACGAAATAGGCTAACAAGTGGTTTCCTTATATGGGAACCGCATGTATGAATGGCCGCCAATAACATCCGTTTGTTGTACATATCAGTTGCCTGGCGACTTCTCTCCCAATGTATGTGTGACCGTCGTGTGCTCGCTCGCTGAAAAACATGTGGGAGATTTTAAGGGAATTCTAAATTTAGGACTTTTGAATTATGATAGGTAATTGTATCTGGAGATTCTTGCCAGGTGAACTGAGAGGCCACGTCAAGTCTTGTGCCAGTCCAACCGCGATGACCGATTTCTGGTCGAACTTCGCAAATTGAGACCGGCATTCTTGCGATTTGAACTTTCGAACTCTAGAGCTACTCTTTCCAACATTTATCATGTCATGCAAACCGCAAGGCTGAAACTGAGTTGTTTCACTGCAATAAAAGACAGCGATGCACTCACCAAGTCTCGTGTTCCCTGCAGTACTTTGCCCAGTAGGCGGCTCATACTTTTGAAATCTTCTCTAAAATTGCGACTGCCGTTGTGTTGTTCCTCGTCCTTGATGACCGCAACCATGGCTTTCTTGAAACCATCGAGGATGAAGTAGTGGGTAGCCAAGCGATCTGCCTCGCACAGGTCGGGGGTGCTGAGGCTGGTGATGTCAGGGAGAGGGACCTCCATCAGCTCGCTCAGTGCAATCCCAAATCTTTCTTCTTCCTGTGAAAAGCAGATCAAATAGAACAAAAAAAAGCAACCGTCATTATGTGAATTCTGCATAAGAAATACGACTAGGAATTTCTCAGGACCCGCTCTAATGCACTCTAGCTATGGGAGGCACTCATTCTATTTAAAGATCAGGCAAAAGTCAGAAACAAATAGCACATTATAAAGGGTAGGCGTAACAGTCCAGAAATTTATATCATGTCGGATTTGATTCAGTTTGGCATTCGAGTTGTAACATTGTCCAGTTGTTTGTCCTGGGGCACTAAGCTCATTTTAACCGCCTCGGTGGATCAAGTAAAATCGACTCTGGCCTCGGAAATGGCGGCAGATAAATCCGCATGGCCTCTACTTGGATCAAATCTCCTCGAAAAACAACAAAAAAGTTTTTTTCATTTAGTTTTAGCTACAGCGATCCACACACCACAGATTGACAAAGACAGGATATCCTACAAGTCGTCCACTGATATACTCCTATTGTTCACAGCGCGTGCCACTTACGTCACGGAGAAACACATGCTCAAATAGCGAGGGTTTCCCCCGAGTAAACTTTCGTTTCGGTTTTAAGATCTGTTTTTGTAACGACAATATCATATGCGCCGAGATGGCGACTGGTGCTCACACCGAACATGTCGGAACGTGTAATTGCATAAATTTGGGCGTTAACTTTATTCTCCATTCTTCGGTCGGGGTTGCCGGTTTGTTTAGGTAGACCTTGGTATCCGACCACTGCCGTCAATGAAATCACCTTTGATCGTATTTGACGACATGGGTTCCCCTTTTGCAAACAACTTTTTTCTGCAAATTCAATCAATTTTAGTTCTTTTTTAAATTCTAATTTCAGTAAATGTGTCTCATCGTATCTGATTGCAACGTTTCACGACTTTCATTTTGTTTGGACAACAGAAGGCAAGTCGTGGCAGTAGCAAGAGGAGTTGAATAAAAAATCAGAGAGTTGGTGTGATAATTATGCTACTTACATATTCCTTGAAAGTTTTGGAGCATTTCTCGACCAGGCTGTTTGTGTACAGAGACAGGATGGCGTAATCGGTCTGGAAGGTGAAGGAAGCGGTGGAGGTGGAGGTGCTCGTGAGTCCACACGGCACCTGTAACCCACCAGCCTCGGTGATCGTGGTTGGGTCGAACGTGGACAAAACCACGGTACTCAGAGGTGCACTCCGTACGGTGCCGAAACACAGAAACGACACTACGCTGAACAAACCTATATAAGAAAACGAAAATATCAGATATGAAAAACATGCAATATTTTGGGCTTCGTAAACTGCCATGTTTACACATGCTGCAATCTCTTCTTTTTTTGTGGGGAGGGGGAGGCGAAAAATGCATAACGACCCTTCCAAAGGTGTGGCGAACGTACTGGTATTGATATTTTTTTTTAATCATTAATTTCGTCCCTGCTTGATGAAGCGCCCAATGGGATCTTTTGTTGCGCTGCACGCGTGCACATTCCATGGAGTATTTGGAGCGTGGTGCTCGATCCGGAAGAAGTAACCGGCAAACGGCGACACATCGCCGCGTAAAGCCGCCAACTTGTGCCGGTCAATACATTGAGGCAAACCGATTTTGACATTATTTCGTCACTTACTTTTCAGCAGTAATCTATGGGCTTCTTTGTAGATTGTAGGATGGGACGTGAAACTCATTAAGCATCTCAAATATTTTGCACCATTGTGTACTTCCTTAGTTGTGGAAACTAGTACTCACCGTAAAAAAATTCTGGTGTCGTTGAAGTTAGACTGACAGCCATGGCTGGAGGTCTGGTAGATTTTGTGATAGAAAGCAGTGAATCTGGCGGCTCCAAATTAAGTAATATTCCAGTAGCTACAGTGGTTATCCTTCTTGCTTCGTTGTGGTCTTGCCGAGTAATGTCTCTCGAGTGAAGCCGGCTTGTGTCTCCGAACTTAATAATGTGGTTTTGACGAGTTGGGTTCGCGAGCGACTTTTGAAGCCTCTGCGGTCTCAACAGCCCTTTTTATACCTAACGGTGGCTCGCGTTTTCCCCCCAAAGAGGGCGTCCGGCTCCGTTCCCCTCCAAATAGAGTCATGAGTCATCGTCCGCCCTCACTTGGTTACGGTGATGTGGCGGACGCCGGCCGGAACACGAGCGGCTTTTCTTCCTGTGTTGTGTTGCTGTGTTGTGTCGTCGCTTTCCGTTCGTCACGTCGCGTCTGTACAGTGACCGGTAGTAGCTTCGGCGGTTTCCCGTACAGTCGCGCCGTGTGTCTGGCATTCACACACAAATGACACGCGAGTTGTGGGGAAAGCGCGCTTACCCAGCAGATCGGAAGCGATGCACGTCATTGATCACTGATTACCAAGTTATATATCCTTGTGAACAAACACTAGACAAGTATAATAACTTCCCAGTGCCAGCACGTGCCATATTATCCCAGGGTCAGTTGTGTTGTACTAATGTCGCTTCGTGTCACCGGCTGATACTGATAGAGGAAATATTTCAATAGCTGATTTATTTATTTATTTAATCAGCGCAAATTTCTTGAAGACGACAAGGATTGCAACATAATAGTTGTGTTTTTATCGTAATCATACAACCAGGGAAGCAAAGGAATGACACTGACTTGCGAAAACATTTATCCCAATATCGTATGACCGATGAGAGTGTTGAATACAACCCAAATGTGCTAGATTCATCTTTATGGAGCAAAGGGTAAAGCCAAATGTTCGGATCTCCACAGTGACTCAACTCCCCCAAAGTTTGAACTATACTGCAATAATTGAAATTCGCACAGTGGAATAATAAGAGGGTCATCGATTACAAAGAGCATAACGAATTAATAATAATTTATTAATGACTTATTAACTTATAACAGTTGTGCTCATTATGATCATGTGATTTTGTTGATAAACATCACATGGTCCTTTACACGAACGTTTCATCTCCAAATTTTTTCATGTTTTCGAGGAAAAAAGTGGCGATATTCATGTCGGTTATTTGACAGTTCGAGCGCTTCGTTAGACTTATGTAACAATATACCTCAAGTATCTTATTTTTATATCGTTTTTCTCATCAACTCAATGAATTACAATTTAAGCAAAGCATGCTTTAATTGGCAACAAAAGCATATTTTACAAATATTAAACGGTAAACCTATTTGTCATTGTTTTATGATATAAAAGTTTGCAATATTAATTTATAATTTAATAAGTAACTATATAAATCGAACATTCACTTGTAAAACAAAATCATCAATATTGATGAAGTAGACATGTACATAGAGCCTCGTTATCAGAGTCGTTGGTGTGCTAATTGGAAGTATTGAACACATCGTTTTTCGTTGCTTAATAAACCAATATTCAAGGGCGCAAAATAATTTTGGAAGATGACAATCTTGAAATTTATAGAGAAGGTTCAGGACTGGGCACAATCTAAGTCAAGAACCTTGTAGTATATCCTGGCAAGTTCAATAATTTCAGACTGTTCAACTATTACCTTTATATGAAAGTTAACTTTAAGAATAGGTGCTCTTCGTTTCTTATTTCCCTTCTAAAACTTTACATTCTAAAACTAAAAATGGTTATATCGACTGGAAGAAGTCATGATCGACACTCCTGCCAATGGTAAATTTGAAGGATGATCCTACGGCTCACATTATGTCAAGATGTAGGGAGATATATCCTCCCCATACCCACGGGATGTACGCCCATGGATGTGGCAAATAAATGGAACTTGTGGTTCTAATTTTATAAAGCACTTTTCATACTTAGTTATTGCACCGTTTCCCATGAAAGCCACATGTAAAATAACTACTTAGCCTACTTTGAAGAGACTGAGTCCCAGAATCTAAAACGCACGAGTCACACTTCACGAACAACAAATTGAAGTAAAGCTACGGTGATAAAGAGCATTTCAGTCTTCAGAATTGAAATAAATTAGCAAAAGCGTAAATATATACATTCAAGCAAGACTTTCTTAAAAATATTTCAACATATTTGTACCAAACATATCTGAAAAATATATATATCTCTTCAATTAATATTATGTACGAAGCATCCGTAGAAGTAAATAGTACATTCATGAATACCTTTTTGTATGTAGATAGGAAGCTTTAAAAAATAAAAAATAAAAGGTAGCCACATACTTAACTCTGAAAATAGGAAATGGTTCAGTTGACAAAACCGACAGTTAAACGTGCCTTTAAAAACAAGACATCATGTTTTCTTTAAAATGACATTTGAAAGGCTTAAACCCACAGGACCGTTTTTCTAAAATAATACAAGAAGTCCTATGTAGAATGTTTGACAATAACCTGTTGAAATCTCAGCTAGGCTGCTTCTAGAGGACCGGAATACGTATGAGAATGTCCGAGTGCAGTTCGCTCGCGTACTGCTTCATGTGGTACAGCACAGTGTAGTCCCGGATATCTCTACTAATCTGAGAGTCAAGCGAGGGTAAAGGAAGGTCCTCCATCGCGCCTATTTGACTTTGCCCACTGGCTCCGTTTGAGCATACCTGAAAGACAGAAAGCAAAAGGATTGTGAAACTTTGCAGCCACCACAAAGTTCTGAACCCATCTAGAAACGCGAAAATGTTGACATAAAATGATTCCCCATTACCTTTTTTTTGTTTACATTTGTTTCCCCTCCAATTACGGATCTGGCTCAGAGATTTGGACATTTTATAGTACGTCGTGTCTTCATGAGTCTAGTTTTCCGCTGAAGAAATGCTTCCTTTAAAAAAAGGTTAAACATACCTGAACTCTTGCAGCTATAGCCGAGTTCAATGACAATGCCACAGGAGGTGGGACAATAATTTGCCAATATCACTTATATCTGCATGGTTTCTCTGTCAAAGCGGATTTTTTTTTATAAAAAGAAGAAATGGGGAAGCTCAAGAGGCAAACGTACCAATTCTTGGACTCCTTGCGTAACCGTTTGTAGCAGCTGAGCAAGATTTTGCAGCTGTGAACCGAAACGTTGGCTTCCCGTGTATTGTCCCTCGTCACTGATGACAGCCTCCATGGGCCTTCTGAAACCCTGCAGGACAAAGTAATGAGTTGCCACACGGTCGTCTCCGCTCATCTCGCCTGAGAAGACGGCGATATTTGGTAGATTATAGTCTTCCAAGTCTCCGAGAGACAAAGGTCCGGATCTTCTGTCCTATAATGTTCCAATAATAAAAGTAGATGTTTAAACATGCACCTTGAAGTTCGCTCAAAAGCCCTCCGTCAAGAAACTAACCAATATCTATGACGTCGCCTCACAATTCCCGAAAAAAAAACCTGACGAAATCGGTATGAGCTTTATCTGAATTTTACATCGAAACCTCAACCCATCGACCCTACTTACTTGCCTGTTGGATTCCGTGTAGGCCTACTGATTTTCATAGAAACTCTCCACAATGCTGTGAAATACACTATTCACATGCATGGATATATCGGTCTGTTCGTTCATGTTGGAGTGCTTGACATAGCTGTATAGCAAAGTGCGCCATTTTCAGCAGCAACCAGCTAGCTAGCAACCAATCCCCATATTTTTTTTAGGGGGGTGGGCGGGAAACAGTCTAAAATCTCAAGGCTCTTGATTATGATGGAATGACATGGCAAATGATGATGAATGTTTAAAGGCATGACAACTGTTTTTGATTGACTGTCTCTGATTCTGTTAGTCTATGCTATGTCGGCGGATCGGGGGAAGAATCCACCCCTCCACATTCCAATTCCGATTCCACATTCCCAATCCAAATACCACAGTGTATCATTCACTGACCCTACTTCCCCCGGTCTACTGTTCCCGTCCATCCACCGAGGAAGTGGGAGAGCCTGGTGCTTTGGCCCACCACTGCAGGGATTGACACCAACGAGGCGGCACTCTACCGAACTAACCAGTCAGACGAAGGAGAGCTGGTATACGCCACATCACAATACCAAGAAAATTAACGTAGGCCTATAAATATAGCCTGAGCTTCACTCAATATTTGTGACGTTACCCCACACGACCCGTGATGTTTTTGTTGTGGTATTTTTTTTTTTAAACCAAACACGCCGAAAAAAATAAATACCAAAAACCCACTTACGAATTCATCAAAGGCGTTTCTGCACGCAACAGCGAATGCTTCTGCGTTTTGGCGAATGATGTGAGAACTTGTCGCGGCCTCCGTGGATTCACAGGGAACGAGGTTGGGCGTAGAGGTACTGCTCACTGGTGCACATCGTATAGTGGCAATGCACAGCAAAAACAAAATGCTGACGAAACCTGTTGAGTAAATGGTTGTGTTTATCGTACGGCTATTTACCCTATCCTTCGAATGTTCCCCGCCGAAAATTGACATCTGCAATGACAAGTCTCCTAAGAACTCTCCGACCTCGACATAAAAACGTTTTACATTCCCGGAACGGTCTGCTAATTTATTGAGCTCTTGGTGATCTGAATCTTAAATTTTCCGAATCTCACTCGAACGAAATTCAACTTTAAAAGAAGAACAGTTTTAGCACCTGGCCTGGCAGCGCCACCTGTTGATGTGTAAGAGATTTTCTTGCACAAAATTCTTCGCGACTGACTGTATCGAAATTTATTGGGCAAAACGGGACTTAAAGGCATATAGGATTATTTGCAGTTTTTTCGTTTCGAACAATAACACCAATAAACATCCAAAGAAAAATATGTTCCAAGCATAACCTGTTGAAATTTCAGCTCAGTGGATATTACACTATTGGAGAAAATAGCATGCACAACATTTGGATCACGAATCACGAAAAAATGCAAAAATGGTCTACTCAGGAAGACACTGCTCAGTTTAGGTGTTTTCTGTTCAAATTGTGAACAAATTGGAATTTGCTCATTGAAAAAACTTGTGAGAAAAGTTTGCTCATTGGCCTACTGCCAAATAATGACACAACAACGAATCACAAAAGAAAAGCAAATTCATAACAGCAAAGTATCCCAAATTCTGGTAACTGTTTGTGCTGAACTAGTTGTATTATTACGATGTTGTGCCTGAAATGACATCTCACTTTTGCTCATGAATATGGAAATTCGCATTAGCATAAAAACCAAGCCGGGCACCAAAATACCCTTGAAAATGGCAAAATTATAATTTGAAAGGAAAGTTAAATAAGATGGAATTGTATTTTTGCATCGGGGTGATGTAAATCGGGGTGTTGAAAGTTAAATACGACGCTAAGGTGCATTTTAAAGAATTGCATTAAAAAAATAATTCATTGCATGATCCCTTTAAATGGTGTTTAGCCTACCTGAGACAGTGATGAGAACTGAGGGGCTTGGAAGCAAATGACATGTCCGCCATAACACGTAAAGATTTTAAAGGCACATACCCGGATCACTTGCATTTATCCAAAAAGTAGCCTACCGAATCATTATCAAAAAAGCTTACATGTGGATTAAAGATGTTACCGGTAGGCCTACTAAACACTCCGTGAAATTAATCTGTCTGGCTTGCTGTCATTTTTCACTGTTTTTGCAGACACGTTGACAGTGAACGACGTTCTTCTTTGGATCCAAGTTAAGTGGTGTTATTATACGAAACGAACAAAATGCATGAGAAGCAAAATGGTATTATGCCTTTATACACACCCATAGAGGCTATACCAGGTGCCTTTGCAGAATCCGCACAGGTGGTGTGCCACTTTCAAGCGTGCAAACTAGCAAGTGGCGTCTCACAAATTGAAGGCCGGCCCGGAGTCTGGTCCCGTTAGGGCTCAGGCGATCATATAGGCCTAATATATCAGAAAGGTGACTTTTAGTCTCAGGGAACAAGTTAGAGTATATACTCACCGGAAAACGCGCGTGTAATCTGCGAACTCAAACTTACAAGCATGGTTGCAAGGAAATGAAGAACCTATTATGTCTAGTCTGGGTTAATGGTACAGATAACTGGTGAAACTGCAGTCCAAAGTATTTTACTGATATGACATTATTCAGAATGAGTGCCAGAAACTTCAAGTTTGATTCAGTACTAATAAGCGAAACGGGCGTACTTTGGCGAATGTGCAATCCGCGATGGCGATTGGTGTTTGAATACTAGTTCTATACTATACGCTCTTCCCGTTAAATTCGGACCCCTCGAAATAGATAATTATGAGTCACCATAATGTTATACTCACTGTAATATGTGGGACCCGGCGGAAACGTTTTTCCGTGTAATTTTTTATCCGACATCGATGTGATTTGTTTTTGCAGCCACGTGACTTGACATTCCGTTACCAGTATTAACTGGCACATTATTAACAACATCCCCATTTGTTTGTGGTAAAGTGGTACCTTAAACCGGCCCCACACGCGATATATACGAAGAACGGGATTCGACTTTTGGTTACTGAAAAAGGAGGGGGTGGGGTTAGCTCTGATTTAGGAAGTTAACATGCAAATGTGATATTTTTTCCTGCATGGATTGTCCTATATTTATATTGTGGCCGTGGGTGCGGTTAGACCCGCCCCCTATCCCGTAGATCTGGTATATGAAATCAAAACATGGCGTGTGGTGTGTGAGGTGTAAATCATTACATTAGTTGGTTTGATAATAATGTCATTCAATAAAGCTCTTTTCAAGGGGGGGGGGTGTTACTGCCCCGCCCCAAACCGTCCTACAGTGCGAACGGGAGTGTTTCTTTACAAAGAAGTGAGCGGTTTGGGGTAACGCCGTGTGGAAATATCTCTTTTGTGAGTTTGTGTGGTTCTGAAGAGAACCTGTTGGAAAATGTGACCGAATGTAAAGCAACAATTTATTCCGGTTTGACGCGAATTTCGTTAGGCCCACGTAAAGAATGTTTAGCAGTGGACAACTGGTAATATAAACGGGCAGTGAAAAGCAATAATCATTTTTTTCTTTTATGTCTTTACTGGTCATTTATTCACCATATAGTAGAGAGCGAAAATGTCTATTTTTTCCCCGCTGAAATAAGTGCAGAGAAACATAATCGATTCTCCTCCTGGCAAATGAGCCCATTGTCTAAGTCTGGTGGGAGGGCATAACCGCGATATCCCGTTCGTCGTTTTCTTCTGAGGTCCGCTGGCCGGCTGGGTGGGACATTTCATATGCCGATTAGGCGGACACCGATGTCTGCACACACACATTCACAAAAAGTTAATGCACGTTGCAAAACGTTTGATGAAATCGTTTTCAGAACCCTCGCCGTGTTGCCGTCAGTCACAAATATTCCCCCATACCTGAGAGTAACCCCCACCAAATTGATTCCATTCTCTCTGTTGCCAAAAAAGTGCGAGAATTTCCCTCTAAAATAAAAATACTAGAATATAAACACAAACAAACCTACCGATGGACTAAAGCGCACCAACTCAATTACATTTTGCAGAAAAGTACTACTTTAATTCAATTATCTTTGGCATTGGCGGCACAATATGCTGACTTCGATAGTACAAATAAATAACGGGTATAGCTAAATCTGGTTTGGCGACAAAGGCAAGTTTTATAAATAGTAATATAAACAGTAAACATATGTATCATTCCCTTATGATATTCCTTCAAAGTATGCTAATGTTATATATAAATCGAAAATTCAATTGAAAAAAAAAATGTCATCAATTAATAAGGGAATAAATGTGTGCTCCGGAGGTTTTTATCACTCTGTTTAATACCACTAAGAGTCTGGGTGCTGATAATTACCCGAGCCGGAGGCGAGGGTAATTATCAGCACCCAGACTCTAAGCGGTATTAAACAGAGTGATAAATACCGACGGAGTACATATTTATTCCCATTCATAAATACCTTTTCGGTAAAAAAAAATCATATAATTCGTTCAAAACATCCCGATTTTGTTCAACAAATTCACTTTATGCTTTTTGAAACATCCCTCCTGCAAAATAATGGAGTGTTCAGCTGGCGAGTAAGATGAAAACAACCCTTTTATGGAGATTGACGCGCGCGTATCATGTTCTACGCGATGTCACGCAGAACGCACCTGGCGCGTTGCGTTTTGAATTTAGAACTATAAAATTCTAACTCCCTGGTAGTGTTGCGCATGCCTACGTGAGGATTGTGGACGTTCAACCAATGAAACGATAAGAGGCACTGGATTTTTAGGAGTCCATATTTTATTGTGACACTGGAAAAGTGTTTAAGACCAGCTAGCCATGTCTTTATCATCCGTTTAATACCGGCCACGTGACGGGCTCTCGACCAATAGGAATGGCTAAACTGTCTGAGGTATTTATGAATGAGGTATATAGGCATATATACCTGGAGCCTCGTAATAAGAGTCGTAGTGTGTTAGTGGAAGTATTCGACACATCGTTGCTAATAAGCCAATTATGGCCAAGGGTGCAAATTAATTTGTTTGGACGATGACAAAAATCTTGAAATTTTGCGACATGTAACAAAAGGTTCGAGACTAGACACAATCTAACTCAAGGTGATCACGTTCAAGACAGAAACTTGCGTATACAAGTGTTTAAACATCCCAGCTGCAACTTCTATAATTTCAAACTGTTTCAACTATTACCTTTATAAGAGAGTTAACTTTAAGAATAGGTGATCTTCGTTTCTTATTTCCCTTCTAACACTTTACATTCTAAAACTTAAAATTGTTATTTCGACTGGAAGAAGTCATGATCGACACTCCTGCCAATGGTAAATTTGAAGGATGATCCTGCGGCCCACATTATGTCAAGATGTAGGGAGATACATCCTCCCCATACCCACGGGATGTACGCCCATGGATGTGGCAAATAAATGGAACTTTGTGGTTTTAATTTTATAAAGCATTTTTTATACTTCGGGTATTGCACCGTTTTCCATAAGGCGCACATATAGAATAACATACTCAGCATTCTTAAAAGAGACAATTTAAACTTATTTGTTTTTCACGAACTTCGAATTGTTGTACATCTACGGTTAAAAAAGAATATTTGAGTCTTTAGTTACTGAAATAAATTAGCAAAAGCGTAAATATATACATTCTTAAGTAATACAATAAATAAAAAATATTTAAACAGATTTGTATTAAACATATTTCAAAAATATATATCTTTTCAATAAATACTATAGCCTTCGTAATAGTAAATAGTACATTCATAAATATCTTTGGTGTTTGTAATATAATTGAAATGTAGATAGGAAGCTATGAAAATAAAAAGAAATAGCAGTTGCATAGTTGATTTTACGACTGTACTGACTCTACAAAAGAAACGATTTAGTTAATTGACGAAACCGACAATTAAAACGTGCCTTTAAAACAAGACATCACTTTGTCTTTAAAATACCACTCGAAAGACAAAAAACCCACAGGATCGTTCTTCTAACAACACTAGAAATCTCATGCAGAACGTTAACCAAAAACCTGTTATAATATCAGCTCGGCCGATGCTGTATGTTCAGAGAAGGCAATGAAAACACGTCCCAAGGTTTATCATGAAACGCGATTCCGTTAAAGTGGCGGAAATGATTCCGTTAAAGATGGCGGAAACATCACAACCGTTAGAACACTAATTACGTCAAATGGGTGGCCTCAATTTTTTTTTGGGTTAATATTAAGAATGATTTTCAACAACGTTTTGCATCAGATTTGTCTTTACTTCAAGGAATGTTTTCTCAATAGATTTGGGCAATTGTAAATGTTCCCGTGGGTTTTTGTGGCCTTTTTTTGCAATTCTTTTCCCTGATACAGAGCTACGGGGTATCGTCATAAATATACAGTAAAACTAGTTGTTTAATATAAACATGTTAAGCCAAGAAAAGCATTGTATGATGCAAGGTGACGACAACTTTGTTGATCGTGCTCTCGTTGGATTTTGAAACTGTTACTGACCTGCTGCTTACGGAATGCTTATGAGAATGTCCGAGTGAAGATTGCTGGAGTATTGGTTCATGTAGTACAGCACAGTGTAGTCCCAGAGAATTCTATCAACATAATTGTCGCGTGAGGGTAAAAGAAGGTCCTCCATTGCGCCTATTGGACTTTGCCCACTGGCTCCGTTTGAGCATACCTGAAAGACAGAAAGCAAAAGGGTGTGAAACATTGCAGCCACCACAAAAGTTCTGAAACTGTACCTCGAAACGCGAGCCCTTTTCCACAGTTGATTTAACATCTACCAATTTTTACATTGTTTGTCCCAGAAGACATAGCTGTGTTTTTTCTGATGATTTTGTAAGGGCTAAAACTAATGTTAAACTAAAGTTATTGCAGCTATAGCCAAGTTCAGTGCAATGTCATCATGGGAGGTAACAATTATAGTCACTAATTATACCCTTTCTGTTCACTTCGTCGAAAAGACGAACTGGGGAGGTTGAGAAGGTAAACTTACCAATTCTTGGACTCCTTGCGTAACTGTTTGCAGCAGCTGAGAAAGATTTTGGAGTTCTGCATCGAAACGTTGGGTTTCAGGGTACTGTCCATCGTCAATGATGACAGCCTCCATGGGCCTCCTGAAACCCTCTAGGATGAAGTAATGAGTTGCCAGACGTTCGTTCTCGCTCATATTGTCTGAGAAGACGGCGATATTTGGTATATACTCGGCAAACAGTTCCAAGTAGTCATTAGGCAAAGGTCCGCTTCTGCTCACCTATAATGTACCAATAAAAAAGTAGATGTTACAACGTGCATCTTAAAGTTCGCTCAAAAGCCTTCCGTCAAGACTACTAATATCTATGACGTCGCTTCAAATTTCCCTGAAACAAATATATAATTATCTGAGGAAACCGGTGCAACATTTACCTGGTTTTCTATTGAAACATCAACCCATGCACCTTACTTGCCTTGTGGTTTCCGTGTCACGCTTACTGACAGTTTTGTTTTTCACGGAAACGTGTCAACAATGCTGTGAATGCATGTACATGTCGGTCTGTTCGTGTTCATGGAGGATCTAGAGTGCTTGATATTGCTGTATAGCAAAGCGCGCCATTTTCAGTTTAACGGTGTTTAGAACCCTACATGGGCACATTGCTGGAGTAAAGGCAATCCGTTTACCATAGAGCTATGACCACCCAAGTTCATGACTGTAGTGCATGGATGACATTCAGTGTTTACGGTTCGAGAACTGCTTGGTTTTTAAGAACTTCATGTCAACGTATAGGTAGGTTGGTGCTTTTTAATTTCGCACAAATGCGGTCACTGTTTTCACGCTGGAAATAGCAGCAGGAAAGTCGATGGTACCACCATGCAATAAAATTGTCTTTTAAAACTCGTAAAAAGTGAACTTTAATGAGTTTTTACGGAAGACATACGCCTTCATCAAGTGCACCATTAATTGTCGAAAGATTGTTGTCAAAGAAAAACGTATAAGCTTTTTAGTAACCCTACAGGACCCGTGATGTTTTTGTTGTGAAATTGTTTTTGGAAAACAAAACACAACGAAATTCACAAAATTGATAAGAAAGACCCACTTACAACAAAATCATCAAAGACGTTCTTGCATGCATCAAGGAAGGCTGTCGCGTGTGGGAGAATGATGTGAGAAGTTGTCGCGGCATCCGTAGATTCACAGGGAACGAGGTTGGTCGTAGAGCTAGAGGTGTTACTTACTGGTGCACATCGTACAGTGGCAATGCACAGCACAATGACAATACCTGTGTTGGGTAAAAGGTTGTGTTTATCGTACGGCTATTTACCCTATCCTTCGATCTTCCCTGCCGAAAGTTGACATCCGCACTAAGTATCTCCCCCCCCCCCCCAAACAAGTTTTACATTCTCAACACTTTAAAGACCACACTGGTACTAAACACCACGTAAAAAATTATTCCATCTGGCTTGCTGTCATTTAGGAGAAATCAAGAAATGTCAGTGATTTCCAACGATAAATTAATTGACTGCTTTTTGCAAATAAAACGTGTTTTGGACGAAATTCTGTTTTGTGATCCAAACGTTATACGCATGCCGTAGTCACTATTTTCTCGAAAAGTGTAGGCCCTAATGTAGTTTGTCTCTGAATTTTGAGTGGTGTTATTATAGACGAATGATATTATGCCTTTACACACACCCATATAGGCTATACCAGGCCCTTTCAAAAATACGCACAGGTTTTCCACTTTCAAGCGTGCAAACTGGCAAGTGGCATTTCACCAATTGAGGGGCGGCCCGGAGTCTGGCCCCGTTAGGGCTGAGGCGATCATTATACATAGGCTTAATCTATCTATGTATATATTTATCTATCTATCAGAAAGGTGACTTTTAGTCTCAGGGAAGAAGTCAGGGTACTCACCGAAAAACGCGTATGCAATCTGGGAACTCAAACTTGCAGCCATGGTTTCAGAACAGTCAGATAACTGGTAAAACTTTTAGTCTAAAGTACTTTGCTGGTCGGAGATTATTCAGAATGGAGATGTCAGGAATTCGAAGGTTGATTCAATAGTAAGCGTTGAATCGTTTGATGTGCAGTCTGCGATGGCGATTCGGGTTTGAATACTAGTTCGTTGTCTCGGGCGCCGTTCTTTTATGCATTTTTCTAAGTCGCTTATCCTGTTCCGTCGATCCGTTCCTAGTTCGCGGGCCCCTCGAAATAGATATGAGTCATCAGCGGGCACTAGCTGTAATGTGTGCGAGTGCGACCCGGTGGGAAAGTTTTTCCCTATGTAGGCCTAAATTTGATCCGACAGTGATGTGATTTTTTTTTCAGCCACGTGACTTTGACATTCCGTTACCAATATTCTTTTGTTATCCGACACTTAGCAGAACTGAACAAGGAACGAAGAGGTACGAAGAGGCGGACCCGGCTTGGGCTAAAAAGGGGGGGGGGGGTAGTTCTGAAGGGATGGAGTATATATGTGCTTCTTTTTTCTGCGTGATTTTCGAAGGCCGGAGTTGGAGTTAGACCCCCCCCCCCTCGTATTAGAACCCCCCCCCTCGTATAGATGATTTGAAATCAAAGCATATATTGTGTGACGTGCATGTGGGTGTGTTAAGCACTTGAGTTTTTATAATACTTTCATAAAATAAAGCTTTTTAAGGGGGACGTTTAATACGCCCCCAAAGCCTCTATACAGTGCGAACAGGAATGTGAAAAAAATTAAGTTTAAGAGGGGACAATATAGTATAGCCTATATGAGCTCCTATGTAGTAATCCTTGGGGGGTTTTTTTCTTATAAAATCATACAAGAAAGTGTACCCTTGCAATCTATCAAACAACATTTCTTGGAAGGAATTTTTTTTCTCTCTCATGATATGGTATAAAAGGGAAAACGTAAAAACCAACAATTTATTCCGGTTACGCGCGAATCTCTCTTGGGTTTTGCAAGCAGGAAAATCCCCATGTATCAAAGAATTACATTAATCGACTGATTATGGTAAAAAATGTTATTAAGGGACGGATAGGGTGGTGGAATCTTTTTAAGGGAAATCATAAAATAAATTCTTTTCAAGGAACATACTCACTCCATATACCACCATTGAATAATAAAATACGTCACTGCAAATCGACGCAGCATTCCCGCTAATTTGAGGAAACTCCACCTACCAATGGTGTCCTTCGATTGGATGATCAGGAATCTTTATTTTGCACTGGGGGGGGGGTGTAGATTGGTAAAACTTTAGGAAATGTACTTTGATCCAATTATTTTCGGATATCCGCTGAGAGTACATCATTCTTGTTCTCACCGTGGACAACGACGATGATATCCTCTGTGAACTGAATCTATATAGCAGTGGCATAGGGAATTCCCCCGCCCCCATACACACTGGTATTAATTCAGTAAGGTTAAATTTGTAAGCATTTCTCCCCCTCAAAAAAAGTTGATGTCCGGCTTGTTAATAACTGCAAATTGTCCGTGTCATCTCGGGAAGTCCAGGATTTGCGTATCAACTAGGCGGATTTGTTGTACACTGCCCAGTGGCGGATCGGGGTGGAGGGGGGGGGGATTGGTCGCAGATGGGGGGGGGGGGGCGCAGATGGGTCGCCTGCCTCCCCCACCCCCGGCAGTGACCGAAAATGTTTTTTTAAAGCTATTTTTTCACTTGAGAGAGCCCAGCCCTCCCCCCCCCCCCCCCCGGCACACCCTCCTCCCCCACCCGGAGGTAACCTCTCTGGTTTCACCCTTGCTGACGGTTGCAGGATCCCGGTAAAATTCTGCACAACTGCGGACACAACATGATGCATGGTGTGGAGATGATCGTTCGATTCAATAATGGCATCACAATGTAGTTATCTACTCCAAGGATAAAATAATAAAAGCAGTTGAGAAGATAATAATTGCCAATGAGCATTCCGAAGTTGACATATTAGTTCTTTTAAGTCACCTGTATTTGTTATTTTATTTTTTGAAGGGGGTTGTGTGGACTTGTGTAAGTATTGTTTATATTTTATAGCCATTTTTCGAAGAGAAACGCAAACATCAGGGTGACACAGTCACTGAGGACGAAATCGCCGTATATTCGTGTTTCGAGCGAATCCAACTCGGGTTTGATGGCCGAGAGAAATACATATACAGCACGGAAAAACGACATATACTGATGGGCTACATTATGAAAAAAACCAAGACTGTCTAGTCGGTAGACAGCGAAATTGTCTATTTTTTTCCCCGCTGAAATCAGCGCAGAGAAACATAATCGATTCTCCTCCTGGCAAATGAGCCCATTGTCTAAGTCTGGTGGGAGGGCATAACCGCGATATCCCATTCGTCTGTTTTCTTCTGAGGTCCGCTGGCCGGCTGGGTGGGACATTTCAAATGCCGATTAGACGGACACCAATGTCTGCACACACACATTCACAAAAATAGATAAAGTGAGTACGAAAAAATATTCTGAAACCTTCTTATGTTATGATGAGGGACCCATGATGAGAATGCAACTAGTTTCTTAGTACTTGCCTGGACGCCGCATAGTCTTAATTTTTATTTTGTTGTTTTGGAGGCCATCTGCTACAAACACAACGCCCACGCCTCTGAACTTCCGCCAGATCATATGTTTACACCCCAAAGCTGCAAATGGCCGTGGGTGGGGCAGGGGTGCCCCCAATTAAGATACGACAAGCAATCTCCCATCGAAAAAAAAAAAGATTGAAAGTGTCAATATTATGATGAAGGTTAAGAAGTTCTCTGCTACTCACACTGAAACAAGGCATGTTACGATCTCATAAAAAAAAAAAAAAATCGGACTTAAAAATTTTCATTCTAAGTTTAAACAAATTGCGTTTGAACTATTCCCCCATGCTTAAAAAGCTGTTCCTTCGCAGTTCGAAATAAAACGCGAAGGGTCTACTTCTACTCAATACGCATGCTCAGTTCAATTAGGCAACCTTCACCTCACTTGACCTCATCCGGTGCAGTCTGTTTGGTTTAGCAATGGTACCCGGCAGACTCAGTGCTTGTGTAACGCAAACAGCTAATTCGCGTACTAAATGCAATGTGGGAACCAGTGAAGGCGAGAAAGGGGAAAAAACATGGTGGTTTTGAAAGGCATCCCGAGAATTTTGTCGCCGGAACTTTTGCTCGCCCTGGCCCAAATGGGCCACGGAGATGAGATTGGTGAGTAGATTGAGAAACTCAGCATTGAATTTTGTTGCTCCGAGTGTTGACGTTTTCCTGACATGTTTGGGATTGACTTCGCGCGAGGTCTTAATAAAAGTGGTCTTCGACTTCGGACTTCGAGTTCGACTTCACGGTTTGCTGTCAAACTCAAATGCGGTTTTGTATACAACTTAAACGGAAAGAATGGTGCCTTTTGACGCCACATTTTCATCATCCTACATCATCTCAATTAAAGCCAGCCAGTCATTGCAAAAATATTGAAGAGACATGAATCTAGGACTGATAAATGTTCCCAATTTTGTTTGGAAACACTTTGAAAATATTCTTGACTCTCCATAGACTTTGTACACAAGCAACAAGTACAACCGCTTAACATGTTGAAGTTACTCCTAGAACTATGAGGCTCCACGTAGTGGAGCCTCATAGGTTCAGAACCCCGCAAAATTGTTGTCAGCACAAAACACTAATTAAGTACAAAAACGTCCATCCCAACCAAGCCGTTTCCCACAGAACCGCTGCACAGTTTGCCCCTAAACTCCGTACAATACCTCATGACATACTCACGCTATGTGCACCCAACAAACATCGGTGGATTCTGTCGGTTTTTTGCAAAAATGATGGAAAATATGCCCTTTCCGCACTGAGCCAACCTAACACTTGAAATTTGCACGCGCGCAGAATGATCGCAGTCATTACCTCTACTCTTACCCCCTCCTTTCCTTAATATCTATTTATCAATCAGTCGCTCACTTCTTCGAGATTCGAACCTCGAATGCTTGCTTGATACACGAGTCTCTTAACCGCTAGGCCGCACACGATCGCTGTTGCAATGATTAATCTTTGGACGTATTTGAAGTATTCATTGAAATAAACTAAATATTCATGAGAAAATAAATATTCATAATGACGTATTGCACTATCATTGGCCGGCTCATGCGACGTCTCATGCGACGTCATGGTTATCGATGTCATGCGTACAACGTACCGCTGTTCCAGACACTTCAATCAGTTTTGACCGGCTGCTTCAACTCAGATCTGCACTACATGTGCATGCAAAATGTGCTCCAAAAACACATTTTTACCAATTTTTTTTCGCATGTCCACTCTTTCCTGGATTCCTCTTGGTTGAAATCACAAGGTGAGGTGAAAATTTGGATGTTTGGCGGCAGGTAAGTGGAGTCCACTTACCTGCAGAATTTTTCCGCGATTGGCTATTTTAAGGCCCCTGTTTAGTTTTGATTGAACAGTCAAGGGTGTTTTTTGTTACGCATAATGACCTTTTCAACCTAGAGCAGACTTTTCTCAATTCTAATAAAAAGTTTCTTGGGGTAGAATTTAGAAATTCTGATTTTCCTACGCAGTTTACGGTTGGCCATGTTGGTGCCGTGCGATTTAGCACGCCTTTGCCTTCACGGTACATCACGCGGTGATCCCCATCTATATTTTCATGTTGCTTTTTCGTCAGTTACCCCCAAATTTCCTTCAAATATTCAAAACCCTGCCCTCTGTAAGACTTTGTTGCCAACTACATGTAGTTAGGTAGGTCAAATAATTTTAAAATGGATTTTGTTCCCTTATTCTAGGGAACCAGGCCCATAGATACGTACAGGATAGCAAAAAAACTCTAGTTACGACTAGTCTTTTGTTAATCATGCGTATATAAATAGAACCCGCAGGCAGTACGTACGTGAAAATCATATATTTGATCGAATATACGTGGTTATAGTGACTTCCTGGAAGTTTTCCGAATGATTTATTTCCGTCAGTTATTTTGGGAATTCGTCTTGACAGGGATTTGGGTAAAATTATTTTAGAAACCATTGAAAAATGTACAAATTTAGTCATTTAATTATAAGGCAAGTAAAAAAAAGAACCGCACCAATTGATTGCCCCCGCCCACATCCTTTTTTGAAGCAGCATCCTTTTTTTATTAAAATATCTTTTTTTCCCCAAAAAATCCATATTTGTGCTTAAAATCTTGGCACCATGCCATATTAAGTCGAACTTAGGTCACTTATGGGTCATTCCTAGCATGAGAAACTCCAGCTCCAATGCTCATTAAGAATTCGACAGAGCTGGAGGTCAATGTACATACATGTATATGTATGTATGTATTCTAATGACAGAGGCTGTGAAATTTTGCTTCAACACAGCCGCCGAAATCGTCATTTTTGTTCATATTTTAGTCAGTTTTGTTCTGTTTAAAGTAAATCCTTTGCTTCATGAATGATTCACGAAGCAAAGGATCGACTTGAAACAAAGCAAAACTGTCTAAATTATGGGAAAAAAATGATGATTTTGGCGGATGTGTTAAAGCCAAATATCACGCCCTCCACCATTTTTAGACCACTGGCTTGAACCTACATCAACCCACATGTATGTCAAATTCCTGATGAGCATTAGAGCTAAAGTTTCTCAAGCTACATACATACAACATGTAGGTCATTCAATGCCATTTCAACAGACCATGGGATGGCACCATACAGCCTGTCTCAAAAAAATCAATTTTTTTTTCAATATTAAATCTCAACATAAGTAAGTCGTTTTGAGCATCACATTAAAGAAAAAATACCAGGCTTTCCAATACTTTTTGTTTCATCTCATTTGCTTTTGTCAATCCAGAGATAACTCCACTGCGGAACTGCGGAACACAAAAATCGAGTTTGTGCCACTTTTTGGGTGTGAGCTTCAAGACAGCATGGCACAGTACTCGAAACAACTCTGCCCATGCATAAAAGTGGCACAAAATCGATTTTGGTGTATCGCACTAAATTGATTATATCTCTGAATTGACAAAAGCAAATAAGATCAAACAAACACTATTGGAAAGCCCAGTCTTTGTTCTTTAATATTATGCCAAGTAAGAATGACTTATTTTGAAATTTCATATTTAACCAATTTTTTTTCTGATTGTACCATTTTTTTTGAGACAGGCTGTATATGTCACAGATTTGATTGACACTGGTTGGAAAGGTTGTGTTTGTTGTGCTGTAGATGAGGTCAAAAGCAAACAATCAAATTGCTTTCCGTTGAGGTGTTACCGTTGCACAAAGTTCAATGAACTTTGCCCCAAAAAGGGGAAATCTGACTGGCCCATAGAATAATCGCTGACATTAAAGACCCATATCTTGAGATTGAAATTGATTTGGAAACTGAATTTTGATACATGGGTACAACTACTTTAGTAGGGCAGGAATATAGTAAATAATACCTATCATGCCTCGCACCTTAATTTTAGGGGGGAGGGGTAAAAAATGATCAGTCATAATGCGTCACATGCATTTTTTTCCAAATTTTGAAGACCCTTCATCTTGGAACTTTGCATTAACTTTTCTTTGTTTCAATTTTAATGTTATCTCTGACTACATGTACTAATATTGACATTTAGAGCAACATTTTGTAGAACTATGTCTTCTCTGATTTGGGTGACCCCCAATATGGCCCCAGCCAAAAATCAGTTTTAAAATTGGCCCAAAACCAGGGGGAAATCCTCATGTGGCTCAGATGGTATATTTTTCTAGGGTTTTTTTTTTAGGAAAGAGTGCATCTTCAAGATCTATCTTGTTAAAAACATTGGTGTGTATCTGGCATTTTAAAGGAAAATCAAAGCTGCAAAAACACCCCCAAAATGGGCGACAATGTGTGTGTTAGCAACACATTGTGCAGGCAATTTTGACTGACCCTAAATCAGCTCAGGAGAGTAAATGGACTCTTTTTTGGCTTATAAATGTTTATCTCAGTATGTACATGTATCTCTACCTAATGTTGGTCTAAACACTACATGTTCATCCACACATTATGTCCAAATTGTAGTGGGGAAGGGGGGGGTGGCCTTTAATACAATGTATGCCCCTTGTGTTGTGTGCTATCTCATACGGGTGTCTCATACAATTTGCCCTTTTTTTTGTAAAAGTTTGAAACATTTGATATTTGACATTGCTTTTGTTTGTTAAATATAACAATCATGACAAAATCACTTTTTGATAAGGGAATAAATGTGTGCTGGGCCAGAGTCTGGACGCTGATAACGATCCGAGCCAGCCAAAGGCGCATACCTTTTAGTTAAAAAAATAAAAAATAAATCCGTCCAGAAGTCAAAACAAGTCAATAATTATAAATTTCCAACTATTTTGTTCAAAAATTTACTTCACGTTTTTCAAAACACCCCTCTAGATGTGTTATTTGGTATGTCCCTCTCGCGAGTAGTCATAAACAACTCCTTATATGGAGATTGGCGCGTGCATTGCGCGTACTACACAATGTGGTGCAGAATGCAGCTGTGCCAGTGAAGTGTGAATTTAGGACTGTGAAATACTGACTCACTGGTCAGTACCAGACGCAGACAATTTCCTTGAATTCTTACCTGTTTTAGAATTCTACACCCAAGAACATAACACCTGAAGTTGGCTCAAACTTTGACTTGGAGCCCATAAAGTTACAAATTCATGACCTGTGATTTATAAAAAAAAAAAAAATTATAAATCAATGAAAGAGATGCACAACTTGTACCCACCAGAGCAGACTTATGTAGAAGAACGAATATAAACCCCAACTCTCCTAGACCCTTCAAAAGCACTTTGAGTTTTTTTGGGCTGGAATCAAGAATCGTATTGTATGAATTTGTCAAACCATTGAACTACTTTGTGCCAGGATTTATTTTTGAAAATTTTGATTTTCGCAAAATGCGAAATTTTTCAGCCAACTTCTGATATACAGCCTAACGCCACAAATACTGATTCGCGAGAGTCATTTCAACAGTATTTTTTTCAATATTTCTTGCCGAAACTTTGTATGTTTCAATACCCCGGGGTGTGCACTGGAGCATAAATTGTACAACAATAGGCCATGTACAATGGCCAATTCAAGATTAATTACACACGGTCCGCCTGTACAGACTACGGACTTTGTGTGTGTGTACAAAAGACATTAGGGATTAGCGACCTCCTGCTTACTAGTGCAGACGTTTTATGACTAGACCACTGAGCTTGCCGGGGTCG